GTTTATGACATTTAAGTTTTTAGACTGCTAGTTATTGATCTCCCCAGTTGTAAAGAACTTAGAAGTCATAGTGGAATAAAAATAAATTTCACATACAAAAAAAAATTACCCTTGTTAAAATCTGCTACTTCTATTTAGCAAATGTTGCAGAAGCCACTGATTCTCACTACTGTAAGTATAGCCAAACCCTTGATTCACTCCTGGATGTGTTCTGCTTGGATTACTGTAGCAGCCAAGTTACATGAGACCTAACTCAGCCCTTTGATTTTTGTAACATATACTGCTGTTGGTGTTATTCTAGATTTATTTAGAATTTATTTATTTAGAAGCCAGTATAGATTGATGGAGTTGATGGCTCACATCAGGCCAAGGTTATTTGATACTAGTGTTTACTTTGATGAATGAAAAGTAAGTCCTCCAATGTTATAAAGTGCCAAAAGATGGTAATACTGATGCATTAATAGTTCTGATGTGTTCCTTAGCATATGTTCTTTAACTTGGAAAGTTGTAAGAAAAGATTGAGTTGCTATTGTCCATGAAATGGAAACCTGCAGTGAATCATTAGTGCACTTTAAGCAATGCCCCATAATTGAAGTTTTGATTGCCAAAGGTGTTCCCCTTTTTGAAATTTATTGACAAATGTAGGTTGGTTTGGGTGATAACTGTGTAGACGCAATTACTGTGCATTGCTGGTCTGAAAAATGTAAAGATGAACTGGGAAGAACTGATGGGTATGATCAAGAAAGAAGTAAATGACTTGTGACAACTAACAAGTTTCACACAAGAAATGTTGAACTGATAATGGACAATTGACAGATCACCTAAAAGAAACTTGCTGTCAAGCTGAACATTTCACAGCAACATATGGGTCACATGATTGATACTCTTAAATAATGGAAGATTTGTGGAAGATGGCTCCTTGCACGCTGATGGCAGAGCAGAAAGTTTCAAGAACTGAAAATTGCCAGCAATTGTTTTTTCACCCTATGAGAATATAAGTGAGGAATTTCTTTACAACATATCGACAGTTGAAGAAACATGGATTCATCCTTATTCAGAAATAAAACATCAGTCCATGGAATAGCATCACAAACCTTTGCATGTGGGCAGAGGGAGATTTCAAAACCCAGGCTTCAGCAGGAAAACTCTTGATTACAATTTATGGATTCATATGGATTCATATGGATTTCCTTAAACTTGGCATTACTATCAGCTCAGAGTGCTGTATTGCAATATCCAAAATTTGGCACAATGATTAAGCAGTGTTCAGAAGCAGAGGAAAGAAATTTTGCTTCAACATGTCAAGCCACCAAGAGACAATTGCAAAATTGGATCTCATCAATTTACCCCATCCTCATATAGTCCACAGAACCTCTACTTTTCCCACAAATTGAAGGAATATCTTTGTAGACATCTGTTTGAAGTGGGAATAATTGTTATTTCCTGGGGGAAGAGACAATATATTGAAGCTGTTTTATTGTTGGCAAAAGTTTGTAGCAAATGGTGATTACATGGCAATGTGGGAGAAAAAGCTAATTTTCCTGTTTCACTTATTAAACTATCACTATTAAAAATAAACAGATAGGCACATTACTATTAATTTAGGTCTCATAAAGTAGTTACACTTTAGAGCTTTTCTTCTCACTTGGCTCTACTACTTACATTAGGTTCCCATCAATTTTATGCTTGGAATTGGAGTTCTTAAAGTAAAACCTTGGTGAAGTTTCTTTAAAATAAATTAATTTCTTACTTCTTACTTTGAATACATAGAAGTTAATACTATTCTACTTTATGGATCATTTAGTTTAGAGGCACCTTGTTTAATATGATGCTACAGTTATTGTGATACATTATTGTATTGATTGCTTTGTTCAATGTACTGCAATTACAAGTTCATAAAAAATAAAACTCCTTTCAAGTACTATTTTCACAAATATTTTTCCTGTGCATACCATCTCCAAATATACAAGTTACCATTTATTAATGGAGAACTATATCAAGACGTATGGAAATACACAATTTATGAAATGTAATTACGTTTCAGTTCACATACTGGGCAATTTATATGCCATGTTTTTTTAATAAGTTTTGGAATCAGTATTCCTTTCAGGATCAATTGATGGAAAATAATAATGGAAGAGGAAAATTACCTTCACATTTTGCAAAGACATGGAACTCATACAGAAATAGTTTAAAGTTGCATATATGCTCTAGCTACCACAGCTATCCTCACAAAAGTAACACCCTGTGACAATTAATTTGTGGTCAGTATGATTGAAACTTGATGCTTAGGGAGTGGTTCAGCCATTTCCAGTTTGGGTGCCCTCCAAAACTTCCAGAATTCTTAGCAATTGATGTGTTGGCTGGGAAATTCTGAAAGTTGAAAGTTCTCAAGCTTTAATATCAGTCAGGCTGTGAAGAGAAGCTACTGCTACTCTTCTGTTAAATATTTCACAACAGTTCAGATGCCACAAGGTATCTGAAATTATTGGTCAATCTGGGCAACTGAGAATATCAGGTTACCACAAATTTGAGCCAGGTTTGTATAGTGCTTAAGGCATCAGACTAGAAATCAGTAAACGGTGAGTTCTAGTCCGACCTTAGGCACAAAACCAGCTGCATGACCTTGGGCCAGTCATTCTTTCTGAGCACTAGGAAGGAGGCAATGGCAAACCACTTCTGGAAAATCTTGCCAAGAAAAGTGCATGGACTAGACCAGGTAGTCACCAGGAATCAAATCTGATTTGAAGACATGCCACAGACACAAAAATTAGAGTATAAAACCATTCACCACAAACCACCCAAAGTCTATTCTATCACATTTCTATTTGAAAGCTGTATTTCTATAGTTCCTTAAAAAACAAATGAATACACACAGGCCTTCGGATAATAGGATAACTATAAAACTGGCATGCCTGTTTTACCATGATAGTGAAATTCATTTTTCTTTTCTTTCCAACTCCACTTTCCAATGTGGGGTCAGGGTTCTGTCCCTCTGTCCATCACCAGGATAACATTCTGAAAACTATAAAGAACTGGGCCAAATTTGTTATGGAAGGGGAAGTCCTCTTCTATTCTAAGCCCCCTCCCTCTTGGCCATATAATATAGAGCAGTGTTTATGCAGATACCCTGTGCTTTCCAGTGCCCACATCTTCACAAACATACATAAATGCAATATGAGGGTTGAACAGAAACATATGTAGCACATCTGCACCTACCCTGCAAAGACTCTCTCCTCCTTTTGTCTTTGTCTCTCTCACATATACCAATACAGAAGCCTTTGATGGCCACAGCTTAAGGAAGGAATTGGAAAGAATGCCAAAACCATTCTCTGCATGTTTTCCCCAGCTTGTTTAAAATCAGGGAGCATTTGGACGTGATGAATTTCTTCTTTCACATTTATTGTTTGGCTAATGGATAAAGCAGCATAAGACCTCTGAGCTAGAATTTTTAATAGCCTTGCCATATATTTGCATTAAATCTTTTCTAAGTTACCATAGCTGTCAGAGATTTTTTAGATGCACCATGTAGTGATACTGAATCCGTACTATTTATGTAAACAGCTCACAAGAAGTAGAAACATGCAAAGCAAATCATTAGAAGCTTACTTTAGGCTATACAACATTAATGTTATTCATCACAATGTGATATGCAGTGTCAACAAATGGAGATATTCAGGTCACTAAGCACAGAAGCTCTTGTAAATCCACTTGCTGTGACAACAGTTGGCACAAAGCACTCATTTTGTGCTATTTATTATTGATCAATTTAAGGCTCCTTATGTGTCTCTGGGCAAGGTAGAGCAGGAGGGAAAGTTTAAATCCTTTCTGCACGTCATTCTCCTTCTCCATCATTAGGGCAATGTTTTTCCTCACTCTCTCCTACTTCTTCAGTATAGTCATGACACAGTATATCTCTCAAGCAGAACATATGTTAAGAATTTGAGTATTTATTTCTTCAGAATGGAACATCAGCAATATATTATCTTCTCTTCTTCTGATTTGGACCTTTCTCCACAAAGAAGTAGAGCACTTTGTTTATCCATTCAGAATTGATTTTGTTTTTTGTCTGGGGAGTTGGTCCATTTTGAGATGATTAGATTAAGGTGTTTTTGGTGGTAACTCCAGCTTTTATGAAACTAACCTCACTGGAAGATCTTGCTGTTCCCTCCTAGACAGTGGTGGGATTCAAATATGTGAACAACCAGTTCTCTGTGTGGATGCTGCTTCCGGAAGTCCGTTCTGGGCCTGGGCAACAAAAAATTAGCTACCGATTCTGCCGAACTGGTGCAAACCAACTGAATCCCACCACTGCTCCTAGAGTGTTTCAAATATGTTAAAGCTTATTTTATACTCAAACATTTCACAAAAAAAAATATAGGGAATGTTTATGGATGATGTGTGACATGATGTTTCAGTTATTAATGTTGTTTGGATCTTTTAGTTGTTAAGTTACATGGTCTGTCTTCTGTTTATGAGAGTGAATAGAATAGAAATAGGATAGACAAAAATAATAAACAAATAAGCAAATAAAATCTCCCAGTCTTTGATTATGCATTCAAAATGGAGTAATATCAATTTATCCAGTCAATCTATAAATAAAAAGTTGATTACACTAGTTGGACTCAGGATAAGACTGGAAAGAAAATGGGGGCTGTTCAGTTATTAGGTTTCTCTGGAGCTATTAGAATGTAATATTTTGGGGACACTTAAGCAGATTTCTCCTTAGAAATTAATGGTATTAATTTATTAATCATTAATATTAATGATACCAGGACAGAGAATGTACTACGTTAGCATTATGAGTGCTGCTAGATAGGAATACATACTTTTTAAAATGTGTTATGTCTTCCAGACACAAAGAAATACATGTAATAAAAGGTCCTGAGTTATAAAGGAATAATAGCAAGATTCTGAGCAAGAATCAGATTTGCAGAAACAAGCTCTTGATTTTTTTGCTTTCCAAAGATACTTGACATCTGGCTATTTTCCATTTATAGGAATTCAGACCATAGTGGCAACATATTTTTTATGTGCAACACCCCTCATATCCTTCTCCCCCCCAAAAAAATACAAAGTTTGGAAAGAAAATAAGAACAGCCTGAACGCTCAGAAAAATGGCAACAACCTCTGGGCTTTGGAAGAATGACATATAGGACTAATGTTCAAAGTAAGTTTAAGCTTAAGATGCTTTACTACTTTTGTACTTTTTAATGGTGTTGGTATTTGTTATGGTGTTATATATTTATTAATTGAACAGCTAATTAGCATTATCTTTCAACAGGAGATTCTTGTAAAAAGAAACTATTATGTCATGAAATTCATTTCTCTGTAAAAACAATTGACTTGAAATGATGGTAAAGATGGCCCACATGCTTGAATTAGTGCACATATACATTCTTTGCAGACTTCTTGTTTTATTATACATTGATTTGTCCTTGTCTGTTGATTTTTTTTTTGTATAATGTGGAAAAGGATGAGTTTTTTCAACATAAGTTTTATCTTCCTGAACAAATTTGAAGTGATGACTCACCATATGCAAAATGTTAGTGTAGCCAAAGCATGGTAGTTTTGGAAACATGGAATATATTTTATATCCCTAATTCAAATCTGTTTCAAAGCATTTTAATCCTCAAGCATTACAATCCCCTATGAATTTAGGCTGCTTTGGTTGTGTGTCCTTTGGATTGAAGATAAATTAATATTAATTGTGAAAATAATCTGGACTAGAAAAATTGAATATGATGAGTCTCTCTTGCCATAAATAATATATAAAATTTCAGCAGATGTTTGATTTTTATCTAATAGTGAAAAAGTGATATCAAATGAAAGCTTTGAACATAGAATGATTGGAACAAAAAAATCATGTGTTACTTATATGACCGAATTTTAAAATATTTAGTTATATTAATGTAAGGCAGTATTTGAATACCACTGTTTTGGTTGCCTCATGAAATCCCATCCCTACATTTTTTTTTTTGCAGATTCACATGCGACTATCAGTGGTGCCTAATAGACAAATGTCATTAGGAGCCATAAATATGCTGTTTTAATTACTTCAGCTGAAAAGATTGCTGTATGTGATCTTAAATCACAACATGGTTATCAGGAAGATGTAATTAAGAACAATTCCATTAACAGGAAAGGCGAATTGTTCCACAAAATGAATATGTTAGAAGGAACATGACAAATTGAGCCTGCATGTAAAGGAAACTGTGGTAAGTATAGAAATCTTCTGTGCCAGCTTTCTGCAACCTGGAGCCTTCCAGTTCTGTTGTATGTGAAATACTCCACAATTCCCAATCAACATGGTCATATTGGATAATTTTTGAAATCTAAGTTGAAGAAAGCTGATATACAGTATATTAACTGTGTAATGGTCTGTGAGAATGTTCTTGAGAGACAGGAGGAAGAGGAGGAGTGGCAGATTAGGCAATGGTCAAATAAAAGGCAGATTAGCCCACAGAAGGAATGTGGGCATGGCAAACTTCTCAGAAGAGACCCTGTAGTTTCTTGGACTATAAAGGTAAGGAAGAAAGATATATTTTCTGACTTGCAAGATTCTATTATTTTAATTGAAGAATAAAGGTAATGTTATCACTCAGGGTTGGTGGTACTTGTCGGGACTGCATCAATAGTGACTTGTTCTGCCTCACTGCTTCTGTAGCCAAAATGGCACAATCTTTATCAGCATGCTGAGAGAAATCAAAACTGGCCAAGGTACAAAAAATATTGGTGGGGTAGGGTAGGATCAAAGGCTATCTCTTCTCACACAGGGCAATGAAAAACTAGCCTGTTTTTCTTGATGGAACACATGGCAGGAATAGTAAACTATCTGAGTAATTATTCTGTGATTGCTTGGCTGGAATCCTGAACAGAATTAAACTATACTGTAATACTAAAATATTTGAAATAAGATTGCTGCTGGTATGGATTGGAACAATTTCCTGTGTTCTAAGTACAGGTTTCTAAATAATATCTAGTTTCTAGACATAATGTCTATAAATGCCACACATTAAATATTACACATGCAAAAATGCAAGGAAGTATGTATGGCCTCAAAAAGGAGTGATGCAATTTAATGTGGTCTCTATTCAAAATAATTGATGGCTTAGTGCAATGATTTTGATATATCTAATAATCATCAGTCAATTTGAAAAATTATTCCATTCAGTTTGCAGTAATGAAATTCAGTCCTACAAATGCTCTGTGGAATACCCAACATCACATCTATTACTTTGTACCCAGCATAGTTTTATCACAGCCAGTTTGATCTAGTGGTTAAGGCATCAGCTAGAAAGCAGGAGATTGCGAGCTTGTTTTTTTTTTTTTTTGTAACTGCTTGCAAACGTCTACCAATTGGACTAGCACTGATGATGTTTGCAAGACAACAAGCAAGCTCAGAGACCATCGGTACCCCACTACCAACTGAGGCTGCAATGGTTCAAATTTTGGAAAAGGAATGCACAACAGAATACAATTAGCAAAAGTTTATTGATTGGTTTTTGTACTCATAGAAAAGAATTGCTTTCCCAATCAGTTGCAAGCCTCAGGGGAGGTCAGCCCTGGTGAATCTATCCATGATGGGCTGCCATTATTGGGATCTTCAATTTCTCTCCCATCCTGTCCTGCCCCTGGGATTGCTTAGATTGCTTTTGGGGAAAATAAATCAGAAAATTGCTGCACAATTTAATCATTTGTAAGGAATGGTTATATATTAGTGACATTTAATTATATTATCCAGTGACTATAGGTCAGGGCTGTCAAACTCGCAATGTCACGTGACGTGTTGCGATGTATCATGACTTTTTTGCCATTGCCGGCAATGGGGTGAGTATGGTTTCACTATGATGCAACCGGCCCATGGGCCAGCAGTTTAACACCCCTGCTGTAGGTGCCTAATTAAGGCAAAAGTGGGAAATAATTACCCAATTGGGACAAAGTTCCTTATCACTAGTTTTCCTCAAAGCAAAGAATTAGTGTGCAGCCCTGAGAAGAAGACAGGAAGATGCCATTTTGACTAAGCAAAGATTTAGTGTGCTGGTCAAAAGTGCAGCTCATGCACAATTTACAAACCTATCCAAATATAAGAAAGTCTGGCCTGTGAAATCTTACTGTGAAATGAGTCAAGAAACACTTTTCCCTCTCAGGAAAAACTCACCACTTCTTGTACTTGGCAGTGTGACTGAATTTTCCTTCAGATTAGATTACCTCTTCCAACAAGCAATTTTCACTTTCTCCCGGTGCCTTTTACCCCATCTGGCTTTATATATCTAAGAGGTGCTTCTGGCAGTTTGCTGTCTTCTCTATGGTATATCAAAGTGCCATTTAGTAAATTCTTAGCAGAGCTGTATAAACTGGCAAATCTTCTGCAGCTCAGGGACTTGGATTTAGGGTTTTGTCTAATGAGCCTTCAATGAGTCTGTCAAAAAGAAGCCTCTACACAGCAAATATTATATTTAGAGGTTGGTTTACTACACTCGTCTCCTCTGTTGAGTATGGTGCCTATTGCATTTCTTTTTAACTAGTCAGCTAAATAGCTTATGTCGACAAAAATCAATGTTAGCCTTATAGCTACATTCCTTAGTACCACTACAGGCTATGTAAAGTGCCCTTCAAATAATACTCCATTGCCTTAGTACCGTAATTTGCAGCGTATAAAACAACTTTCTAAACCATGCAAATCTTCTCCGAAGTCGGGGTTGTCTTATATGCCCAGTCGTCTTATACGCCGGAAAATACCATATTTTCCGGCGTATAAGATGACTGTCTAACCATGCAAATCTTCTCCGAAGTCGGGGGTTGTCTTATACGTCCAGTCGTCTTATACGCCAGAAAATATGGTACATAGTTTATTAAAGAATGAAGTTAGCCAATTCATAAATGTGCATTGCAATCTGAAGTGTGCATTTATTGATATGATTGCTCTACTTAAGAAGCTTTGAAACCCAGAAGCTAAACTGCTGGGAAAATAACTTGCTGCACTTAATGAGAGATTTTTAAAAGTCCTACTACACATCTTGCCACTGGTTTATATTTTCAGACTAATTTGGATTTCTTGAACTTTCTATGATAGCTAGAGAGACAGAATTCATGCTTTGAATTCCTAACTGGGCATAATATACAATTGTGAAAAAGTGCTCAGAATAAAGACTTGTCTCATTCAGCATGTTATCTACTGCAGTGGTGATCCTCCTGGTATATCAATAATTTGGCCACAAGAGAATTAATGTCTCTAGCTCATGTTTCTCAGGACTCTACAAGTGCTACATTCATTGATATCATTCATAGCAGCATTATGCTAGCAGCCACTGATAGCTATATCAGCTAAATATTAGCCTATTTTAAACTATTCAAAGCTGGTGACATCATCTTCATACCTTGTGATAGTGGCTTCATTGTTTAAATAAGCAGTGAGAATTTCTTTTTGTCTGTTTCAAATTGCTCCCCATTCAGTTCTGTTCATCCTATGTTCTGCTATTATAATAATGGAAGAAAAAAATCTTTTCCATGCACCTCTTCTGTACCAAATACTATATCACATGCTAAAAACTAAACTAAAAAGCCATATGCACTATTGTGTGAGAATAAAATGATATGTTTGTGACTGTCAAAGTATTCTTAGAGTCTTAGAGGACTGTTTACTTAGAGTAACAGCCTTAGAACAGTTTTTGTTCACTCAAATAGCTGCAAAACCTGCCATAGAAATGAGGGTGAATGAGTTGGAGTTTACTTTGTTAATTGTTCAATTTATTTTTAATTCTAAAGATCCAGAGAACAGTTAACTGGGCACTATAATAAGGATAAAAAGTACCTGAACATGAGGATACCTGTAAGGGGTGCTTTATTCCCCCTCCCTTTTTAAATATTTCACATGTCGTGGTGCTTCAGAACAGCTGGAGCATTATATCTCTCCTACAATACTTGATGGAATTATTATATAATCATGCGGTGGCATCATGATGTGAAATCAGCATTTCTGTAAAAAACTCAATTGTGCTGTGAGCTCTGCTATTATACATAGTGACATACTGTAATTCAAGGTCCTACGGTTCCCTTGCCCCTCAAAATCTCCATGGACATTTAAGAGATCTGGTTAAAATGCTAGCTGAACTTTAATAGTAGTTAATGTTTGTGCCACCATGGGTCTGCCAGGAGTGAAAATGAAGGTTAAATGTATATATGCAATAAACATTGTAGAATAACATTTAGTAGAAACATCCTGCTGTTTCATTGCCAGATTCTTGTAATGGTATATGGGAATGACTTTAGGAGACAGGGGAAAAGCACAGCCGTGGAAATTATTGAACAACAGACAGCTTAGCCCACAAAAGGAATGTGAGCATGGCACCCCTGTTTCTTGAGTTGTAAAGGTACAGGGGAGAAATGTACTTTCAGACTTGCAAAATTCTCTTAATATAACGTCATGTTAAAGTAGAATTAGTCCATCTGATCATGCTTTCTGTGTGAATTATCTTGCAAGGCTGACAATTTCATGCACAATTTAGAATATTCATTGTTAAGTAGTTTTTAAAATTAGAACAGTACTTGCTCAGTACAGATTTAATCAATATGTAGGGCCAACCTATGTAAGTTTTTAGAACTGAGCTTTCTACATTCTGAACTGCAAAACTATTCAACATCAATATTATGAGATAATAGTTTGCTGGTATCAAAACAGCAAGGCAAAAAGTATATATACTAAGAGAGTATTTACTTATTTACAATGACTCTTTAGCTTTTATTTTGGTGAAATCTTTCAAATTTTGCTGAACAAATATTTGAATACTTTTGAACTGAAGGTTTTTAAAGTTCTACCCTGGAGAATATTGTACACACATCAACAACAGCTAAAAAAAAAAAAAGCCATGGGAGATGTAGAAAACTCTCAGAGAAGGTTTCTCATATGTAAGTAGGGCTTTTTTTTGTCATAGAACACACAGAACGGCATTCCAGCACTTTTTTTTGAATGGAAGAACCAGTTTTTTCTAAGCTGCCAGTGTGAGTACAGGTATGGCTGCAGAGTGATTTTGTGGACCCCAGTAGCCCTATCTGTGCTCCAGAGGCTGGGGGACCGCAAAATGATTCTGCGTCCATAGATCTGGGCTCCGGAGGTCTTTTCCAGGCCTCCAGAGCTCAGATTGGGCCATGGGGGACGCAAAATCGCTCCACAGCCTTAGATCTGGGTGGCAAAGGTCTTTTCCAGGTCTCCAGAGCC